TTTATTATTGTCCAAATCGAGAAGGCGCCATCCTTTTTGGCCAAATGGATAGCCAAGGAACATGCAGCGTCGAGAACGGGACTCAAATTTGTCTCCATGGTGGGATTGATTGTGGGCATAGGCAAGGCATCCGAAAACCCGGATATGACTATATGAGGGGGTTTTTTCATAGATCATGGAATATGGGGTTTTGCCTTTGTGTAGCTCAGAGGGTGTTCGGTTAATTAGATACGCAGCGGTTAGAATACAATCACCCCAGAATTTAAGAGGTAGGTTGGCTTGGAAGCGAAGGGCTCTGGCAATGTTGAGAATGTGACGGTGTTTTCGTTCGACTCGACCATTTTGTTGTGGGGTACCGACGCAAGAGGATTCAAAAATAATCCCATGATTGTCAAAGAAAGATTTTAAACAAGTGAACTCTGTACCATTGTCACTTCGTACAGTTTTCACTTGTTTATTGAATTGTCGCTCAATCATGGAAAAGAAATTACGCAAGACAGTAGGAGCTTCATATTTTTGATTTAATAGATACACCCATGTTGCCCGAGAAAAATCATCAACAATAGTTAAGAAATATCTAGCCCCAGTGCGAGACGGAGTACGGTACCCACCCCATAAATCACAATGAATCAAGGAAAAAGGTGTAATGGATTTATTCAAACTAGTTGGGAAAAAGTCACGACATTGTTTTGAACGAAAACACACATCACAAGGGGAATCAGGGATATTGGTATTTTTGGGTAAATGGAGAAAAGTGTTGACAGTGGTGTAGGAGGGATGACCCAAGCGCTTGTGCCAAATGTCCAGATCCTTCGCCTCCTTCATAGTACAGACTTTGTCCTTCACACCTTTCTTGAGATAATATAGTCATTCGGCCTGCTCACCCATTCCAATCACCATCTTCGAGATATAGTCCTGTATAATACAAATTTTATTATTAAACTTGACAATTAAATTCTTTTTCTCAAGAAGTTGTGAGACAGATATAAGATTGCAGTTGAGTTGAGGAACTAGCAAAACATTTTCTAAGGTGATCAAATTATCTACAACCACACTCCCCTTTTGGTTGGCTATCGCACAATCTCCATTTGGTAGGCCAACTGAGCAAGGTTTTATGACTTCCAAATTTTCAAGACACTTCTTATCAC